TTTCTTTCTTTCTTTCTTTCTTTCTTTCTTTCTTTCTTTCTTTCTTTTTCTTTCTTTCCCTCTTTTCTCTCTCTCTCTCTTTCTAGCTATCTATAAATCTATGCCTGTCTATCTGCGTCTATCTCTCTGTCTCATCTTGAGGTTTTTAAGAAGAGATGGGACATCCATTTGTCTGCTTGTGCAGGGGGCTGGACTAGAAGACCTCCAGGGTCCCTTCCAGCTCTAGCCAGCAAAGATTTACCAGAATACAGCAGGAACAAATGTGGCTAGACTACCTGCTTTATCGCATTTTGGGTTGGGGAAACTTTCTTAATAGACGGTGGGAATGCCGTAATATATCTTATACTTCAGTATATCTATAATTCAGCAAAGTTTTTAAAAAATAAGAGCTGACTGGGGGAATTCTGGGAATTGAAGTCCACAGGTCTTGTAGTTGCCAAGGTTGGAGTCTCCTGAATATAGAAATATGGCTAAATGACCTTTTGTCACATCTTTTTGACCGGATAACTTTCTTAATAGACGGCGGCAATGCAATAAGATGTAATAGATCTTGATTCCAGCAAAGTAAACAAACAAACAGCTGGGGGAATTCTGGGAGTGGAAGTCCAGCCATCTTCAAGCTGCCAAGGTTTGTGGCACATGGGCCTGAGAGTCCCCCCCTCCCCTCTTCCCCCCCTCCAGGAGCCATGGCCCAGCCCAGCCCCGCCAGCTACGTCCGCGAATTCACCCGCCACTCCAGTGACATCTTGGCCAACCTGAACGAGCTGCGGAAGCGACGGATCCTGACCGACGTCACCTTGCAGGTGGGGGGCTGCCCCTTGCAAGCCCATAAGGCTGTCCTGACAGCTTGCAGGTGAGACTTCCCCCCACAGGTGGGCGCTGGCAGAACAAGGTGTGATTACCCAAAGGGGCGTGGCACAAAGACAACACAGCCAGATAATAAGTAGGAATCACTTTATTAGCTCCAGACTTTGCCACCAAGGTCCTGGTTACCTTTGGGGCTGGAGAAAAACTCTCCCAAGAACAGCTTTCGGCTGCAGAGAGTCAAGTCCAAAACGTGGTCAGCACAAACTGTAACTTAAAGTCCAATCAAGCCAAACTGAAGTAATTAGTTTGGCAGAGCAGGAGCAAGAATTCCAGACATGAATAAAACAACACGGTTGGGAAGATGCCAAGAACACAGATAAGCAACGACAGCACAAGATAAAGTCACGCTTGCTCCCAGCAACGTGCCTCACCCAGCCTGCTTCTCTTATAAACTGTCTTCTCAGGGGTGGCTGATGAAGGGAATCAGGGCCCTTTCCTCCCCTGTAAGCCATGCAACCCACGTGGCTCTCTTCTCCATTCCTTCCTGCGTGCCATAGGACCATGATGGCGAACCTATGGCACAGGTGGCATGCGGAGACCTCTCTGCGGGCATGCGAGCCATCGCCCCAGCTCAGCTCCTCCGCACATGCTCGCGTGCCTCCCGCCAGCCCGCTGATTATTAGGTCTCTGCTGCGCATGCGGGGAGGGCAGGGCTCATGCAGAAGATGCGCATGCCCAGGGGAGCATGGGGGTCCCTTGTGCATGTGTGGGAGCAGGGGGAGCACGGGGGTGCAGCGCAGCCTCCCATGTTCCCCATTTTGGGCCTAGTAGATCTCACTGCAGCCTCCTGAGAGCAAAAACAGGCCACGGGGGGGGGGGCTGAACCCCCTTTGCCCCGTTTTTGCTCCCAGAAGGCTTCAGGGAGGCCTACTAGGCCCAAAATGGGGCACAGGGAGGTCACACATGCTTGTACGGGGGATGGGGGAGCACGGGTGGGGTCCCTCGCGGGGCAAGTGGGAGGGGGGTGAGTGCGCATTGTATTATGCGTAGAGGCACGCACATATGTGCACACTTTTGGCACTCAACGACAAAAAGGTTAGCCGTCGCTGCCCTAGGATGAAGAGGGCTGGCGTCCCTCTTGAACTTTCTCTCCCTTGTTCTACCTCTCCCCTGCTCTGCCCAGCCGGCCTTTGCCGTTCCCGGCCAACCCTCTCCCGCTCTCTGTCAGCAGTTCGTCTTCCTCCTCAGATTCAGACTCCGACAGGGGCATGACACACGGTCTGGAGAAGGTCCAGTGGGGTCTCTGGACATGTAAACCAGGTTGGGGGGGCGGTCCTCTCCAGAAGCAGCCATGCCGATGCAAAGGGGGGGGCACGGTGCAGAATTTGAACCCCAGGCAGGGGTGGGCTTCAAAAATTTTAGCAAATTATTTAGCAAAGATAAAATTTGAAGCCTGAAATATTTTTTAATTAGGAAGGCTATCGTAAAGAAAAAAAATATACTTAATTACAAGGTGTTACCAGCAGCTAGAATTGTATTTGCTCAAAATTGGGAAAGTGATAAAATACCGACAGAGGGAAAAATAACTGAGAAAGTATTTGAATGTGCAGAAATGAATAGATTAACGTTAGAAATTTTTTTAAAAAGGAGAATTTGAATATTACATCGAATGGGCCTTGTTTTTATCAATGGCTAGAAAATAAAATTAATTAAAATGGATTAGATGTCATTAGAAAGCGACAAGAGAAACTAGTGTAGTAGATATACTGAATATTACTTATATTATATACATGGGAATGTGGTTATTATATGGTTATACCGTTAGGAAGAATATTATTAGTAATTGTTAACCACATGAAATATGTAGCTGATTGACCCACAATTGAAATGGAATGGATTAATTGTATGTTAAAAATTTAAAAAAAATTTAAAAAATGATAAAATTAGCAACCAGTTTGCTTGAACCAGTGCGAACCCGTAGCAGGCCACTCCTGAACCCAGGACTACTGTGGGAGTGTCCCATGTAGTTAGAAACATAGAAGGTGGGATTCCCAATCTAAGAAAAGAGTGTTTCTACAGCTAGTCCTTGACTTACGACAGTTCATTTAGTGGCCATTCGACATTGGCAGTGACTTACGGCCGTTTTTCACCCCAATGACCATTGCAACAATTTCCCCCGGTCCCCGGATCAAAATCCAGATGCTTGGCAATGGACTCGTATTTATGACGGTCGCATCACGTGATCTTCTTTTGCGACCTTCTGACAAGCCGAGTCCATCGGGAAGCCAGATTCGCTTAGCAACCACATGTCTCACTTAACAACGGCAGCTATTCACTTAACCACGCTGGCAAGAAAGGTCCTAAAACGGGGCAAGGCTGACTTCACGTCTCTCTTAGCCATGGAAATGTTGGGCTCCGTTGTTCGTCGTAAGTCGAGGACTACGTGTGTGTGTGTGTGTGTGTGTGTGTGTGTCTGTGTGTGTGTGATGGGTGTTGTTTTGCGTTCCTTTTTTTTAATTTTTTTTTTTTAATCGTCGGGATTTTGTGTTTTAACTTTTTTTCAAAAAAAATTTTTTTATTTTTTTATTTATTCATCCCTGCAGTATATGGAAGTCCTGCAGGAAATTTCTAGCCGCAGGGGCCCGAGGCAAGCGCCAGGCGTATGGGATTTGTAGTCCTCTCTCTTTGAGACGGACACGGCTGGACGGTCCTCGGTTTTGACCCTTCCTTCCTGCCTCTTTCTCCGACAGTGGCTTCTTTTATTCGGTTTTCCTGGGCCACGGAGGCCACCAACTCAGCGTACTGACCCTCCCCAGTTCCATCGAGCCGGTGGGCTTCCAAGCCCTCCTGGATTTCATGTACACCTCCCGCCTCCTGCTCAGCCCAGGCACGGCGCCCGCGGTGCTGGTCGCCGCCTCTTATTTGCAGATGGAACATGTAGTCCAAAGTTGTCACCGTTTCCTCCAGGCCAGGTACCCTGGGGAGAGAGGATTTAAGGGGGGAAGGGGGACCAACAAAAGTCCAAGTGGACAGGGAAGGAGGTTCTCTTGAATCGGGGAAGGTGAGAGGAACATCTGGAATAGGACAGGAGAGGTTATTTTTTTTTAAAAAAAAGAGAGAACGAAAAGCCATTCTTGGCTTTCAAAAAAGAAAGGGGAATTTAAGCGGCTTCTAGGGATAGAAGGTGGGTTGCCTCCGATCTGGAGCCCTCGGGACGCGCGGAGACTACAATTCCCAGCGTTCCCAGCACACATTGGGTTCCTGGTAAGGGATTCGACCAGCTGGTCTCAAATTGGGCCACTTTAAGAGGGGTGGGCTTCCAGTCCCAGAATTCCCCAGCTAGTCTGCTTTAAGAGGGGTGGGCTTCAACTCCTAGAACTCCCCAGCTAGTCTGCTTTAAGAGGGGTGGGCTTCAACTCCCAGAATTCCCCAGC